GGCAGCCAGATTCTTCTCTCCTCTGCTCAGGTCCCTTTCAGGAGGGAACAGAGTTCTTATTCTGGAAAAGAAGGTGACACTAAATCTGTTTTTACAATATCCAGAACACTCACCGATCCAGGACCCTTACCACTTTTATAAATCAAATTTGCTAATAAGTCATTCTCTTCTGGTATATCAACTAGGGTGATTTCCAAAATTCATATTAGGCATGTTTTATCAGAAGGGTTCTATGTCATGAAAGAGTTAAGTAGATCTATATTTGGTAAAAACAAATATATAGAAATAGCATTTTTTGACTATACATTTTAAAATCATGGTTTTATCCTATAGATCAATAGGTCAAGCATGTTAAGTCAATAGTTACTTTGTAATAACATTCAAGTATTTTTACTAAAATTTAAACAAAATTATTTGTGGCCATCATCCAGGTTGCCCAAGATGTACTGCTTTCTTCAATATTTTTCTGAAGTAAGACTTTTTATTTTCTTGCTGTTGGATGATTTGATATAAAACATATATCCTATATAATAAAAGCCTAATATGCAAATTGTATGACTGGGAGTTCAACCGCTCGTTATGACATGTGCTGACCAACAGGGGGCAGTGCAGAACATGGCAGGCGTTGACAGTGGGTGGCAGTGGAGGCACTGCTGGCCATGATGGGCCCAATGAGAGCGGGACCCATGGGATGGTGGAGCAGGTGAGTGGGTGGTGCCAGGCTAAGGCGGGTGTGAGCAGGGGCCCAATCGCCCTGCTGATTGCCTCGCAGACAGTGACCAGCAGCAGCAGCAGGGGACAGGGTCACCGCCCGGCTCCCAGGTGCTGAGGGAGCTGGTCAGGGTTCCAGGTGGGGCTGTGGGGCTGTGAGACTGAGGGTACTAGCTGGGGCTGCAAGGCTGGGGGCATGAGCTGGGGCCTGATTCCCGTAGGTCACCCGAGGAACCCCACCATGCACAAATTTGTGCAGCAGGCCTCTAGTCCTTTAATATCTACACTAATAAAAGAGAAACATGGTAATTGGCGTACGACCGCTACCCTTTTCATTGGCTAACTAGCCATGATGGGCCCAATGAGAGCGGGACCCATGGGATGGGGACCCATGGGATGGTGGAGCAGGTGAGTGGGTGGTGCCAGGCCAAGGCGGGTGTGAGCAGGGGCCCAATCGGCCTGCTGATTGCCTCGCAGACAGACCAGCAGTGGCGGCAGGGGACAGGGTCACCGCCTGGCTCCCAGGTGCTGAGGGAGCTGGTCAGGGTGCCAGGTGGGGCTGCGGGGCTGTGAGGCTGAGGGTACTAGCTGGGGCTGCAAGGCTGGGGGCACGAGCTGGGGCCCGATTCCCGCAGGCCACCCCGAGGAACTCCACCATGCACAAATTTGTGCACCAGGCCTCTAGTCCTTTAATATATATATATATTTCCCAGGGAAAGTGGAATCTCATTGGATTTGAAATTTATGGATGAGCATTTTTTTCAGCTTATAGACAATTTTTTAAAATCAGATGAAAATAAGATACACAGGAGTGAATTCTGAGCACAGTTCTCGAGCTTGTTTAATACTATATATATATACAGTTCTTATTCTCAGAGGATAGCTTACATGTAAGGAAGACCTTCAAACCTCCTTTTAAAAGGTTACTATACCTGCCTTAGAATTGTATCCTCCTGGAGAAAGATTATGTATTGAAATAATTGTAAAAGTAGACTTTTTTCCCCAAGAAAGTTAGAAAATTTTTCTTTGTGCTTTATTCATAGTAGAGGCAGTCTGAGAAAAAGGTCTTCGTTGACCTAGATTTGCTGTTTTCCAATAATTCAAAGAACTCAGATTTATGCATTTGACACTTTTATTCATAGTAGAGGCAGTCTGAGAAAAGGGTCTCCGTTGACCTAGATTTGCTGTTTTCCTGTATGCCAATAATTCAAAGAACTCAGATTTATGCATTTGACACGGCTGGGAGTTCAACCGCTCCCTATGACATGTGCTGACCACCAGGGGGCAGTGAAGAACACGGCAGGCGTTGGCAGTGGGTGGCAGTGGAGGCACTGCTAGCCATGATGGGCCCAATGAGAGCGGGACCCATGGGATGGGGACCCATGGGATGGTGGAGCAGGTGAGTGGGTGGTGCCAGGCCAAGGCGGGTGTGAGCAGGGGCCCAATCGGCCTGCTGATTGCCTCGCAGACAGACCAGCAGTGGCGGCAGGGGACAGGGTCACCGCCTGGCTCCCAGGTGCTGAGGGAGCTGGTCAGGGTGCCAGGTGGGGCTGCGGGGCTGTGAGGCTGAGGGTACTAGCTGGGGCTGCAAGGCTGGGGGCACGAGCTGGGGCCCGATTCCCGCAGGCCACCCCGAGGAACTCCACCATGCACAAATTTGTGCACCAGGCCTCTAGTCCTTTAATATATATATATATTTCCCAGGGAAAGTGGAATCTCATTGGATTTGAAATTTATGGATGAGCATTTTTTTCAGCTTATAGACAATTTTTTAAAATCAGATGAAAATAAGATACACAGGAGTGAATTCTGAGCACAGTTCTCGAGCTTGTTTAATACTATATATATATACAGTTCTTATTCTCAGAGGATAGCTTACATGTAAGGAAGACCTTCAAACCTCCTTTTAAAAGGTTACTATACCTGCCTTAGAATTGTATCCTCCTGGAGAAAGATTATGTATTGAAATAATTGTAAAAGTAGACTTTTTTCCCCAAGAAAGTTAGAAAATTTTTCTTTGTGTTTTATTCATAGTAGAGGCAGTCTGAGAAAAGGGTCTCCGTTGACCTAGATTTGCTGTTTTCCTGTATGCCAATAATTCAAAGAACTCAGATTTATGCATTTGACACTATCTCGTCATAAGTAACGATGTTCCTGCATATATAGGTAGAAAAGTGCTCTTTAAGAAGTGCAAATCATTTTGCACAGATTTTCTCATTAAACCTTCTATGCTATTAATCCCCAAATTTTAGGAATATGGAAATTAAGATCCAGAGAAGTGGTTACTTACCAAAAACTTGTACTATGCTAAGTAAAGAGTTTAGGAATGAATTCCCAGAGTTCTGTTCTTTCCCATAGCATCTTTGGAATGTGTTCCTGCATAAGGTACCACATACTTTGAAATAAACAGGGATATATATTTTAGGCCAATTAAATACTTTTCTAATTTATTTACAGTGGACACAATGTTTCATTTGGGAGATCAATACCTCACCAATACTAAGCCATGAAACATAAATTATTTTACTTAAGAGAAAATTGCCTCCCTTATCAATTTATGGAAGTTGGCTATTAGCATCATGACCCTCCTATCTTTCACATTGGCATAGGCTTTGAGAATTTATTTTGCTAAGGGCAAGATTTATACACACGAATCATTTTTATTCCAATAATGAATGCATTAGCTTCCCTCAAATGTACAGTGAAAAATTACTCTGCAGTCATTACTCTGGCTCAGTAGATGGGGCTAAGGATGAGGAAATAGTCCTGTGAAGACTTTTTAAAAAACTATCTTAAAGCCATCATTCTTCTACAGGTGCGCATCATGTATGTGCAAACCATTCTGAAGAGAAGTCTCATTCAATCTTTACTTCATGTCCACTTTTCCCTCCTCTTTGAAGTGATTGAAAAGTTATAAAGTATACTTCCCAGACTCCTTTGCAGCTAGGTCTAGCACTTAGATGGACTTGAATGAGATCCAGAAACCAGAAGTGAAGCAGGGGCCATTTAATTGCTGTTGTAGCAGTTGACAGATAATTCTCTAAGAGTTGTGAGGGATCATAGTGGCTCAACATGACATAGTTGTAGAATAGTCATCAGTGACAGTGCCATCGATGTGAGGAGACTGTGATCCTGAAGTGACAGAAATCAGTAGCAGTAGCTGTTGCTTGTCTCCAGGGTTTCATGTATACTGGTATGACCTTAAAACTGAAAGTTCAAGAGCAGACCACTGACATCCATCCCTCCAGCCCTTCCAAAGATTTGGTAAACACAACTTCCCTGAATAAAATAACTTTCTGCTTGTTATGTTTTCTGTGGTTTTGTAACCTAGTGAAGCTACAGCTGCTCTCCCACTTTTAAGTGCTGAGGAATACATAACTGAGGGCTGTGTCATCACAAAGTGGAAGATCAGCATATTTGGGTCCAAATCCTGGTTTTGACAATTAATAACTCTGAAATTTTGGTTCTATCTTTTCATCTTAAAAATGAGTCTAAAAGTACCAACTTTATTGGAGTTTATGTAAGTAATAATGTGCATAAAGTGCTAAATCAATTAGGTGGACTTGGCTTTAGTAATAATATTTTTGAAAATACTCTTTTACTAAAACTGGTTTAAGTAATAAGAAAATTTATCATCTCAAATAATTGCCAGTTACAATGCAGGATAAACTCCAGGAATTATATAACCTGTGGTGCCGGAAGCTGGTCCATCCTTGCTGCTTGATACGGTCGCTGCAGGGAAGAAACATCTGCACAGCATATGTTTCAAGGGACCTGGCGTATATGGCATACTGTTCTTAATATGTTTGCTCCCCTTTTTGGCACTATGTGTTAACCAAGGTCACCTCTCCGAGAAAGGTTGTTTCCCCAGGTAGGGATTTTTCCCTGAAGTTAGGGAGGGAATAAAACCCCTTAACTAAATGCCAGGCGGGTAGTTAATCACTTTAACTACGAACAATCACCCTTAAGCTACATAATCTTTACTCCCTGGAATGGAGATAAGAAATGCCCTAACCTTTGGAATAGAAATTGACAGGATTAAAATCAACTGGTATAAATACAGATGTAACAAGACAATAAAACACAGAACTTGGCTGGAGATCCTGGCTAGAGAACCTGGCTAGGCTGCTGATCAACTGAACGCTGTCTCCGTGTCATTCCTTCTTCGCCCACTCCGTCCACACCTTTGGGAACCCCTGGACCTGCTGGGGTTGGACCACAACATCTGAGCTGCCAAGGACAGTAACCTCCAGCTACATTGATTGGCTGCAGCTGGGCAGTGGAGCTCCTCTAGGCACCTACCTCTGTAGCTAAGGACCTCACAGGACACCAGGGGCTGACCTTAATTGACAAAGAGAAATGGCAGGTGAAGGAGCTGTGGCAAAACTCCAGACAGAAATCAACTGTCCCATCTGCCTGGGTAACCTGGGAGACCCTGTCACCATCGAATGTGGGCACAACTTCTGTCGCTCCTGCATCCAGCAGTCCTGGGCTGATGTGCAGGACAGGTTCCCTTGCCCTGTGTGCCGTCACCCATGCAAAGAGAGGCACCTGTGGAGCAACACCCAGCTGGGAAAGATGGTTGACATGGCCAAGCACCTCCTGATCACAGGGGCCAATATGAAGCAGCAGGGAGAGAGGCGCTTCTGCAAGAAGCACAACCAGGCCCTGACCCTCTTCTGTGAGGAGGACCTAAGGTTGTTGTGTCCCCTGTGCACTCAGCCCCCTGACCACCAGGGCCACCACGTGAGGCCCGTGGAGGAGGCTGCCTCTCATCACAGGCAAAAGCTCAGAAGTTACATTGAGCCCCTGAAGAAGCAGCTGGCAGACCTTCAGAAACTATTAGCCACTCAAGACAGGCAACGATCAGAACTGAGAGAAAAGGTGGAAAAGC